ACTATTGATATCCGGATAATTATCCGAATATTTGTCGGATTATCCGGATACCAATAGTAAATGGATATCCGCAGAATAGTTGATTAGATTTTCGATTTTGATTCTTTTTTTTCAAATGAAAAATAAAATTGATTGACTCATGGATAAATTCAGATATGGATAAATGGATGACGGATTTATCCGGATTGGACCTCTAGATTAGAGATTCTAATCGTTGTAGCAAAGACCCAAGGATTCTAGTGGCAGTGGGATCCTCAGTTCTCGGACCAAATATTCCACGCCCTCTTTCGAGTAGCCTTGTCTTTTTGGTTGTTTTAGCTATGAATTATAGTCACCCCAGATTCGCCCTTTTACAACAACGTAGCGCACAAAGCCACGAAGAATGATCATCCGATCAGATCAGATCGCACACTCCACTTGGTATGCTACACAGGAAATTTAATATTTCTATCTAGAGATGATGCATAAATAAACAGTAGCACATCGAATCTCTTGCATAAAAATAATAGTCAAAGAACAATATGTACTTAATAGCATACTACTGAGAATGACAATTTTAATTTATCCCCAATGAGTTAGTTAACTTTTGTTCTATATACCGTACGTACACTGTACGTACGGTGCAAGAAATCTAAAAACCACAATTATACATTATAAAGACAACATTGAAATCCTAAATCAGGAGCTCAGTGATTACATGAATGATGCTCATCCATTGACTCAATTCAGAGCTCCATTGACTTCATTCGCAGCTCCATTGGATTCCATTGAATTCCATTGCCAACCCTGCTTTAATAGGTTTTTATCCCCCCCCCCCCCCTAAATGCAAGATTTTTTGAAAATTCTATATGGTTTCGCAAATTGCCTTTAGAGAGGTTTGATTGTATATGTTCATCGCATATTCTCCAGTCGCATGGATCCTCATAATGACGGGTCCCAGAACCATATATTATATTTTGTGTACAATTAGCCGTTTATGGAAAATCTATCATCATTATAGATTTCCATAGACGATGTACACAAAATACGTATAATTGAAAATCCGAGGTCAGGTTTTCCTTTGACGGCATTCATATATAAATATCGTACGTGTATGTTAATTATTTTTTATCAACTATTCGCACCATTTCAATATTGTCTCATTTATTGATATATATTAACCGAAAAAATGTTAGAAGAAAATGAAAAATTCAAATTTAATTATGATTGGTTTAGTTATAACATTCATAATTGGGAAAACCATTTACACCATCTTAAAAACGAAAAAATTAATGTTCTTGAAATTGGATCTTTCGAAGGAAGATCAACAGTTTGGATTTTAGAAGAATTATTTAAAAATCCTGAATCAAAATTGATATCGATCGATCCTTTCGATGAAATGCTTGCA